ACGGCAATGGCTCACGCTGTTCACCTTGCGAGCACCATTCGTCGCCTTGGTCCTGCAGCGCCCATTGCGGGTGACCCGAATCTACACCATGAGCTGCGGGACGGTCGTTCACCATCAACAACGGCAGGAGAGGACCTCACCGCCACCCCAAGCGGCATGGAGATTGAGCTTTCCGACGACCCGGCACAGGCAACGCGGATTGGCGGCCGCCACATCTTGTTTCCCGACGTGACTGCGCAACGCGTACTGCGTGTCTCCCACTGGACGTCCACCAGTTTGCATGGACTTGGACCACCACCCTCTGGTATTGTAGACTGTAGGGACGGAGGACGGCATCCCGCGACAGCCAGGCATGCTGCCACGACGAAAACATGCCGTCGTTGTCCTGCGTGAAACCGACTGGACAGCAATCACTTTTCGTCGGCGCTCATGCACGTTGCCGACCGCACGCTGGTTGCGTTGTGTGTGGACCTCCGTGCCTGTGGTGCGGCAATGCCAGCTGCCGTGTCCGTTGTGGCCACATGGGCTACCGAGCACAGGCCGAGTATCAGCGCCGACAGGAGCGGTGCTGCTCTGTTCTGCATCGCCTCACGCCGACAGTCTGACGAGGACACGGCCGACCATCGTCTGGGCGGTGGGAACCCACGCGTCAATTCCCACCCTGTGCGTCTGCTCGGCAACGCGATTGATCGACACCTCAATTTTGTTTTGCACGTCACCGCCGCTGCAGGGCAGACCGTGCCACGCCGCCGTCAGCTGCGGCTGGGCGCAGGAGCTTGTGCGTCCCAGCACACCATGCGATCCTTTCTCGTTGGATGCGTCCACGGTGCGTTGCACCACGGCGGCGAGGCAACCGCACCGTGTCGGCCCCCACTCACCTCCACAGCCTGGAAGTGCGGCACCGCGACAGCTGCACATCATCGCTCGTCCCACGCGTATCAACGAAGGATAGCTCTGTCCACCTGGCCGCCAGTCCAGCACCGCTGCGGAGGATCGTTGGGTTCCGCGCACCCACACGGCACGAACGCCTCACATTTCATTGATATATTGAGTACGTGCGTGGCGCAGTATGCTCGGAAACCACACCTTCGTCAATACCTGGGAAGGCAGCGACGACCATTCTGCTGCCGGGAGATGCCGTCCTCAAGGAACTGCGACGCGTCCGCAGCCACATGGGGATCTCCCCGGACCGCATCCGCGCCCCTCTTGTTGAGCACCGAGTTTTCGCCTGGGACACTGTGAGCTGCAGCGGGGTGGGCGTCTTCCGGCCACGGCACGTCAAGGACGTCCTGTACGGTGTCAGACGATCGGCCCTTGAAGCGGCCTGCACCTCTCTGGGACTGTATGACGCAGGTCGCTGGATGGACGGCACGTTGTCTCTCGCTGAGCATGCATCTGGATCCGCTGCAATGCCACTTGACTCCCCGGACAGCGGAGCTGCCTGTGGAGCCTCACCGCACAGCTGCTGGCAGCCTTGCATGCACCTGCCGAGCGGAGCGTCCTGCCACTGAGCATGGCCTCGGACAGTTTTCAGTTCCCCGCCTGGCAGCAGCATCCCAATCGCCCACACGAGTTACTGTCGCCACAGACTCCCTCTCGGCGATGGAGTCACTCCGCCTTGGCCCGCTGGCGGTGCACGACGACGTCAGCGAGGAGATTTGTACCGTGCCGCTTTTACTGGCGGATCGAGGTCGCACAGCTGGCTTCGCATTTCCCCATGACACTGCGGAATCCCACGCAACGTGACAGCGGACGCTGATGCCGTCATGGCACGATCCATCCCGCAGGACTGCGTCAATGCCTGGCATGTGGACTTCCTTACCGCCGTCAAGAGGTTATAATGGAAGGATGTCCAGGAGGAAAAGGAAGCCGCGTACACCGCATTACAGGCGCCTGTCGGTGTGGCGAGGACTCTATTCCTGGTGTTGACCCGGACATCGGTCCCGAGTGGCGGCACTGCGCACAGGCGCGATGCGACTCCTGCCCACTCTTCGACAGGCCTGCACGCGCCTGCGGATCACAAGGAACCCTCTGTGTCGGTGGTGCCGTCCCTCCCTGACTGCGGTGACCGGCCCGCCTCTGCCTCCGCCGGAACCTCTTCCCGAAATGAGCACCGAAACTCCTTGCCGACCAGCGAGCGGCGGATTGACGTTCTCCCGCCCAACCTGCGGCAGAGTGCACTTGTCCGTCCACAGTATGAGGGCACATGCCCGACGTGCTCAGCCTGGCGTTCCGATAGTTGGAGAGGGCCTCCCATGCGGATGCCACAATGGCGCCACCGTCTTCTTAACAGGTGCCTCGCGCGCAGGTCGCCACCGAAGTTGCCAAGCGCATCAACAAGTCAAATACGGACAACGCAACTCTGCAAGTTGCAACGACAACCATAGCCCTTCAGGCACTACTCTACCGCAAGCCCCCACCGGCCGCTGAGCCGCCCGAAGGTCCACGGGAAACTCCATCGCACGTGTTGTGGGAATGCCCTCGTTGTCGACCACTGAGCATTCGAATCTTCGGAGAAAATTTATGTCGCATGACAGCGTTATTCGAGACGGGAAAGTTGTCCACGTTTCTACGGACAGCCCTCGGGCGATCAACGAATAGTGACAATGTCGTATGACGAAAAAAAAAGGAAAAGAAAAAAAAAAAGAAGAGAAGGCTATTCTGTGTTTATCGATGTTTTTATTGTTTTATTTGCTTCCCACAATTACGGGTTGCAATTATGTTTTTCTAAACCTAATCTTCGCACAACACCCAAATGCCACGGAGGAATATCGCACGGAAGCAGGCAGTGGGCGCAACCAAAGAAGCATAACAACACATCAGCAAACGGATATAGCAATGTGAAAGAAAAAAGCACAGAAACGTCACGTACGGAGCGGGACAGGCACTAGTTGTGTGTGTGCGCGGCGGCGGCAGACATCCTCGCTGTCCTCCTCTCCCGCCTCACTTCTCTCTTCCCCGGTGTGGACGAGCGGCTCGCGGTGACGCACTGAGGGTCCGCTCGCTATTAAAGGGGATGGCGGGCACGGTCTCGTGGAGGCGGTTGGGCTGGGCGGCATCAGCGTCACTATCTAACGATTCCTCCGTTGGCTCGTCGGGGGGCACACCCAGATTTCCCGAGTTACATACATAAGAAGCTCCTCATCACGTGCTGCCGCAGTGCGAGATCATAACGGGGAGTGCGTGGGTGATCGCCCACGCAGCTGACCCCTGGCAGTGCAAAAAGACCGCCCATTTCACTTGCGCACAACACCCGCTCAACCACAATCACATGACTCAGTTTACAGCCACAGACGAGCAACAAATGACACATCAAAGAGACCCAAGCCAAATACAATAACAAAATAGAGGCCTCCAACGCCTTCAAGCGCACGCGCAGCACGCGTCTATCGCCCTATTCATCCACCCCGTCGTGGTCGGTCGCCAACCAAAGTATGATCCTTGTTTTTGAACCTTCGTTTTGCACTTGGCTGATTCTCATTGCTCGCATATACAATTTTTCCTTCTTATTTACATTCCTTTCCCGGCACTCCCGCCAAACCCGTTGTTGTTTCCTTTTGGAACTTTCCCTCCGGCCGCCGCTTCAGTGTGCCGAGATGTGGGCAACGAGGTCCAGCACCTTGTGGGAGTACCCGGTCTCGTTGCCGTACCATGAGGCAAGCTTCACGAAGCGATCGTTGAGGGAAATGCCGGCCTTGACGGCAAAGACGGACGTCAGCGCGACGCCACCCATGTCGGTGGAAACAGCCTCGTCCTCCGTGTGGCCAAGAAAGCTCTTCAGCTTCCCCTCGGAGGCTGCATCGGTGGCGGCGCGGAGCTGCTCGTATGCCGCCGGCCTCTCCAGGCGCGCGGTGGGGTCGACAACCGACACGTTTGGAGTCGGCACACGGAACGCCATGCCGGCCAGCCTGCCGTTCAGCGCGGGAATGCCTTTCCCAGCCGCCTTGGCCGCTCCGGTGACGGACGGGACGATTTTCCGCGCCGCACCGCGACTACCGTGCCATTCTTTGAGCGATGCGCCGTCCGCTGTTTGTTGCGACGCCATGGTGGCGCGCGCTGTGGCCATGAGACCCTCAACGGCGCCGAATTTTTCATGAGGGATCTTCGCGGGCGGCGCATGGCGAAGGAAGCGATTTGCTGCCCCTTGCAAATCGTGTCTTTCACACCCACGAAAAGCGTGGGCGTGTCGTCCCTCGGCTGGCCTGTCATGACGGTTTTTTCGCGCCGGCCTGGGCGTGCCCGCGGGCGGTCCCATCGGCGAGGAAGAGACCCGTCAACTCGATCACGGCCGCCGTGTCGACCTCATCCCGCCCGAGATTGGCGTGGCCGCGCTCACTCGTCACGAGGGTCTTCTCTCCGTCGGCGGTGCGGCCGTGAGAGCCGGCAATCTCCATGTCGCTGCCGCGCCGCCAACGCATAGCGGAGTGCGCCCCGAAGCGCCGGCGACGTTCCCGCAGGAGCGACGCGCCTGATCCGGAGGCCGCGGCAAAAAAAACGCACGTGGAAGTTGGCGTTGCGCGTGTCGCGGTCGGTTGCCGGGCCAGTCGGGCAGGGACGCTGCGGCCAGTCACCCCCGCACTGCCCAGGGTCGCGTGGGCGGACCGGGCGACACACCATTCGGAGTCCTCCAGCGCAAAGCGAAGAGCCCAACGGGAGACCGCCGCCCTGGCAACGCCGGCCGCCGTGGCGTGGTGCCGGGGACTTTTTCCCCGCATTCCCGGGGAGGCCAGGAGTGTTTCCCTCGCGGGGCCGCGCTGTCGCCGGGCAGCTCCGCGTTGTAGGGCGTACTTGCTTCACGATATTGGCTGGCGTGCGGGCCGTCGTGTTTGTTGAAGAATGCTGCGCTATCGGCGCCTGCCTTTGCGAATCCTAACTGATTTCGGGGCGGGGTGGCGGAATAGGAAAAGAGGCGGTGTCGGAGGCTGTGGGGATGGACGACAAAAGGGGACCGACACGCGGAATTACTCAAAAAAAAACAAATAAAATAAATAAAAGCAGAATCAGCCACCTCCGGAAAGCAGATGGCGAATCGTGATGGGCTTTCCGGACGGAAGCGCAACTGCTTTCAGCTTTGCCAATGTCCGTTCTAATTCTTCGAAAGGGTCGCCGCTCACCGCTGAGAGTATACTTTTCAGGTAATTCAGGTCGGTCGTCAATTGCTCAACGGCGGCGGCCTCTTTTTTCGCCGCGTCCGGCGCACCGCTGGGGAAGCAAATTATGATGTTGCCCACCTTGTTTTCAATAAATTCCGCCACGGCAGTTCGCACAATGTCTTCCAGCCAATTCCCGGCCACCTCCTCCAAAAGGTCTTCGATGCCGTTAGGGCGGCCGTCGCCATCGCCGCGCAGCGCTTCCAGGGCCAGCGGTATTTCAACAATGGCCTCACCAAGTGCTCGAACCAACTCACTTGGCGCAATCTGGGCGGGTGTGTAAGAGGCGGGCGGCGACATACCCGAAGCAGCGTCTTCTTCATTTTGTTTCGAACCCCACGAAGGCTGAGAGTCGTACCCGTTAGCCTTCGCGACGACAGGCTCAATGATTGTGCGCTTCGCCGCTCGCTGGCACTCTGCCGTGCAGTCGTCGAGGGCTTCCGTCAGCGGTGCCCAAAGCTGGGTGCGAAGTTGGTCGTTGACAGCATCCGCCAAACTCGGGTATAGTCGCTGCAACTCGGGCGAATTTAGATACTCCGAGGTCGCTTTCGCTGCGTTTTGGAGAAGCTGCCAAACCACGGTGCGAGCGGACGATAAATTTCCAAGCAAAATCCCCTGCGGCGTCTTTGGTGTCGGCCGTAGGCGGGATATCATCTCGAGAAGGGCCTCACGCCATTTTCCAATGCACATTGGGAGTGTCTTCTCTGGGAAAAAGCGCACAATGCGTTTGACGGCATCGATCACTACATCCATTACCGCCTGAAACTGCTCCCGCCGCAGTGTATGCTTTGGAGCGTCCACAATAATATTCGCAACAAGAGATGCCTCACGTTGCGCAAACGCCTCCAGCAGACTGGGCTTACCAAACAGTCCGACCATCTCTGAAAAGGCATATGTTGTAACCTGCCTTGCGAGTTTCTCTCGCAACGGGTCGCCGCCGCCAGCCGCATTATTATGACCGCCGCCCATGGGCCCAACTCCGAGAACGTGAGTACCAATTTCTTCTTCCAACTTCAGCTGCCGTACCGCGTCATAGCAGGCAATCAATTCTTCATTTCGTTCCACACGTTCCAAGATCGGCCCCAACGCGTACGCGATGCTTCCAGTCACCTCGTCCACCATAAACCGCATCAATTTCACAGTAAGTGCTTCTGCATCATGCGGCTTTGCAGCATTCTTTTCCATTGGCAAGGTATCCGCGTTTGCACCACCCTCGAGCTGGACCATGCGCAAAAGGTAATCTAACTGGTCCGAAATCGCATACCCGATGGACGGCATCAACTGACTCTTCAGCAATTCCGCAGCGCGGGCAGGGGAGATGGTGGCCCCAGCAGTGCTTCCAATTAACATTCGCTCCACGCGTTCCTTCTCATTTGCCATGCTCTCCACGGAATACTGCTGAAGAACCGCTTCCGCACGACCAATTGTGTCAAGTACTTTGAGAAGTTGAACCGCGCGGTCGACCTCGCGCCGTCGCAGCACATCCATACATTCCACCTCAACAGCATGCTGAACAATCGGCTCATACCTTTCCACCGCCTCAAGCTGCTTTTCCCCAAATGTCACTTCCAACTTCCGCAGCTCCGCCAAATTGCACCGAACTTCACCGATAGCCCCTGCTACCGCATCCATGTCCACATCTGATGGGGATATGCGCAGCTGTTGCATGAGTTCATCAAGCTGTTTCATGCTACTGTCCACCTGTGAGGCTTTTCGAAGTGTGTCGGAGCATCGAGTCAGCTTCTCTTGTGTTTTTTTGAATGCATTCAGCTGCGAGAAGTAGGGCTTTGCGGCCGCCTCCACTGCTGACTGTGCCACTTCTTGTATGCTCTGCATCTGCGACTGTAGTTGTTGCGCTTCCGTGGCCATTCGTCCAATTTCCAGTCCAGTTCGCGGTAGACGTACGAGCGCCTGGGCGATGGTGTCCTCCACTGAGCCAGACACCTCCTGCAAATGGCTTTGTAATCGATTAAAAAGCTTCGTGACACAAGCCTCCACATCTGCTTCGCTCTCCGCCGTTTTTCCCTCTGCACATAGCAGTCCCTGGAGTGTGGTGTTAATCCAGCGTTTGATGTCTACATGCTCACTGGCAAGCTGATCAAGGCGCAGCTCTGCCACCTCGGCCGCATTGGCGGCCTCCATGGAAGTATGCATGTGGACTGCACTGTTGCAATATATTTTTTTTTTTCCTTCTTTTTCCTCCTTTTTCCTTTTTCCTTTTTTTTTTCTAATTGCTTCTTGTTTTTTTCCCTTTTCTTCTCTGCGCATGTTAAATGACGTTAACAACACCGCCAAAAAATGACGGCGCGAAGAAATTAAATAAAACACAGTAGATTATCCAAGACACACAGAGAGAGAGAGAGAGAGAGAGAACAGTAACATCCGTAGCAGGGCCAACAACCCAATGCCCTCTCCTTCTCTATGTGTGGGTATGTTTGCTCTGGATGATTATTTCATGATTGATCGTCGCACATCCCCTTCTTTTTTTACTTTTTACTTTTTTTTTTCTTCCTCGCTATGCACACACTATTTATTTTCCCGTCCGTGATGCCAAGAAAAAGGGTAAAGGACACGGCTGGAAACTCCGGTCTCAGCATATAAACGACTTCACTCCCCACGTGCGCAGTGCAGCCAAGACGCGGCTCTGGCAAATGTTGAAGATCGGGTTCAATGGAGAGAGTCGCTCCTGGCTTCTGTAGCAACCACCACCAACGCCACTGTTACTGTTGTGGGCTGCAAGCACAATCTCGTAGTCATCACGCTCGTTTGGGATGTAACCACGACGAAGCGCCGTGGCGTACATCAGCGTGTCATTTGTACAGCTGCGAGGCAGGTACTGCAGGTTCTGCGCCGTACTCATCCCAGAGAGGGAGTAACATGTGTGGTAGGCGTCGTTCAGGCACCCTGGCTTGTCCATGAGCCCGCCCATCTCTTTATCCTGGCAGCAAGAAAGCACGTAGAGCAGCAGACGTCGTTGATTGAAGTAGAAATCCCCCACATCTTCGTCTAAAAAGGATTGGGTCACCGTCTGCTGCTTCCATGCGGACTGCGACGGTGCATGGAGGTACGCCTCCACATGTGCTGTTCGCTGTCGGTGAATTTCCTCGGCATGGCGCCATGCGTCATCGTCCATAGGACACATAGACGTGGTGTCGATCAGCTGCGCATGATCGAGCAGTAGAGCTTCACGTGCCGTGAGGCACCGCGGTGTCTCAGTCTGCCCAAGAAGACGCATGTATGATTCACCCACCCGCAAGAGCATGTGGGACGCACCCACCCAGTACGAATAGCATGAGTCCACAAGTTTGTTGGTTCTTCCATTGAAACCGCCCTCGAATTTCAGCTGCCTTGCTGATAACCACCGCCGCAACGCTGCGTATTTGCAAAGATGCGGAGAACGCATCAGTATTAGGGCAGCAAGACCACACTGTGTGTAGGCTCCATGAGCCTCCGATGCGTTTAACCCACACGCAAATCCTCCCTCATGTGTCTGACATGACGCCACAAAAGCTGCTGTTTGTTCTGTAATTACCGTGTCGTCCCGTCCGTCCGTATACGCGGGAACGTCATTGAGCTGAAGCAACACCGTCATGACCGCCACACAGTACGATGCACGAATGTCTGCCTCGCCACCGGTGTGCATGCAGAAGCTGCCATCCTTGCAACGTAGCGAGAGTAGCCAACGCTTTATGGCAGCACGGGGAAGAGCACGGAGGTACGTTGTCCTCGGCAAAATGCAAAGCGAGCACAGTGCAGCGTAGGATGCGGCCAAATGCGGTATTTGCGCAAGCTGTCCACCTGCAAATCCAACAAGACGCTTTCCATCATCGTTATCGTCATCGAAAATGCTTACGGGATTTCGTAATAACACAGACTCCTGCTGTTCATCCATATCCATCGGATTATTCCTCATATCATCATCGTTGCTGGTGCCACTTTTCTTCACCTCCTGTAAACAGCCAAGAATAAAGTTACCGAGCGCATCAGGGGAGACGTGTTCATAGAGTTCCTCCGTGATATCAAGCACATCCGCAGCCTGCAGGGCCCAAAACGCAAGCCACGGCTGGGAACTGTAGAGTCCTTGTGTGGATTCCCCTAGAAATAAGAAACGGCCCTGCACATAGCTGTCGTGCAACTCCCGATGTAGTCGAGGCAAATGATCACCTTTGCAATCATCGGATGCATCCATACACATTTCTTCCACGGTTTCCATGGGCTCTGCGTCGGGATGTGTCCGCCAGAGCTCGTCCACCTTTGGGTGGTATTGTCGCAAGAATTGCAAAAGGCTCAACTCCACCTCACGCTGCGCCAGCGTCGTCAACGTGGCTGGTGGAACAGACCCCACGTAGGCAGCCATGGGATAGGAACAAGTCACCACCCGCCTTTTTTCACACTGTGGGCCCGTATTATGTAAATGCGCCCTGGAATATATATATATCTGTGTGTGTGTGTGTGTGTGTATGTATGGGGACTCTCACCCACTCTTCCCTTTTCGATACGTCACTACAAGAAGGAAAGACGAAGAACGACAGGAATCACACCAAAAGACGACAGTTATTTTATTTTTTTTTATTTTTTATTTTTTTTTTTGTGTACGTGTCTCTGCAGGTAAGTGGTGTGAGAATGTGTCGTGAATGGAGCCCCCCTTTCCCAGAGGAAAGCTGAGGCCGCATGGTTTTCGTAACGGCGCCGAAAAAAGGACAACAACGTGAAACAAATTAGCAAAAATAGACACTCTTTCAAACGTACATACATAGGTAAACAAACAAAAACTATGTGTGGCGGCATCACAGACGCCGTCGACCGAGTATGCGGTGACGTCGCCTTATTGAAATCAAAACCAAAAGTAGCGGCAAAACCAATATCATCAGTGGAAAACACAGTAATAACCCATATTCTTCACCCTCCATGCTTCTCACGACATCCACCCCCGTGGTCAAATCCGCCAGACACTTCTCAAGAGTGGCACCGTCATCTGATTCCCAGGAGACAAACCCAAAAAGTACTTTCCCTGTTCGGCTCAGCACGCGATGCGTGAGGTTCCTACCTTTCTTGCAGTGCACCATAACACCATACTGAACGGAATGAAAAACGCTCTCGTTTAACAACCAGATCTTGTGCCTGCGTGGGTAATGCAACCCAAGTCCAGCACCCCCACCACTATTAGCGTAGTACTGAAATCCCTGCTTGGAAACCTGCAGGTAGTGATTGTCTGCATGAACGTATATGGAGGCACATGACTTCCTCATTAGGGGAATAAGCCAATCCTGCAGCCAAGCAAAATTTTCATGCGGTCCGTTTGAGAGAATAGGATAGTGTCCAACGACCACTTTGTACGGCACGGAAGCGTATGTGTGCAGGAGCCAATGCCCTACCAGCCACTTCTGTTTTCCATTGTCCCAACAAGTATGCAGACGCTCATGGCAATTATGTAGGAGAACCGTGTCAATCACAATCACCACCATATCTTTACTTACCTTAATCGCGTAATACGCATGCGGCATGTACCAACGGCCCGTCACCGCCGTAACATTTGAGCTAATGCGGGACCAACGACGAATATACGAGTTCGGATCCCTCGTGGCATATGTGTAACTGACTTGAGCCGACCAATTGCCCTGGTGGTCATGATTCCCTAGTGCTAACAACCACGGCACACGTTGCACCTCACGGCTGCCACCATAAAAGCGCTCAAAGGTGGTAAAGAAACGCTTATCATACACGTCCCGCACGCCATTTGGATAGAAGTTATCCCCAGCGGCCAGCACAAACCGTATGCGCTCGTCCCGCCTCTCTGGAAGCCTCTCGCCGTCCTCAATGAGCTTCGCAATGAGCGCCGCAACGTCCTTCTGTCCCTGTTTCTGTGGAGGCTTACCGCCCCAGCAGCCATGTGAGATAAAGCAGAAATTGTCGTCTTCATTACTCCCCTTAGAACTCAACTCATCGGCGGCCGATTCCTCCACTTGCGCCTTACCAAAGTTGTTGTACGGCGCAAACGCGACCTCGGCAACAGGGACACCCGATACTGCGGCATCGACAGCGAGGGCCACAACACTGACAGCGATGGCGGCGGCGAGAAGAGTGAGGCGAGGCCGAGTGACGCATCTGCCCACCATCAACGACGTTGGCATCTCGCAGTGAACTTCTCCACCACCACCACCTCCTCCTTTCTTCTCTTTTCCCCCTTCTTCCATGCAGACACACAAACACACACACACACAGAAAAAAAAAAAGTGACATTTAAACAGCAACGTGCGTAAACGCCCAGCGGACATCGAGAGACAGAGAAAGAGGGGAGGAGGAGAGAGCAAAGACAAAGCACAAAGTGGTCCCACCTCCCTTTTTTTTTTTTTTTTGAAACCCAAACAACAAGAAGCAACGACACACACACACACACACACACACACGCACACTCAATAATAATAATAATAAAAGGAGGAAGAACCGGCCGTAAAAAAAAAAAAAATATGCCCGAATTTATTTGGTTCTGCCTCGCTTTTTCTGTAAATAAAAGTCCCATATATATATATATATATATATATGTTTATTTATTAGGCCTGTTGTTTGCATCCTCTTGACAACCTCGTCCCAGCCATTTCCAACTAAAAAACAAGGCAGACGCACACACACAGACGTAGAGAAATAAATACATCGTTTTATACTATTCTTAGTCAGAAATGTCTTGGAAAATAGGTATTTTTGCAGTAATAGGATAATTTAAACACGGAGGACAAACAAAACAACAACAACAACAACAACAACAACAACATAAATTTCCAAATTGCATGCATATGGGTAGAACAGAGTTTCAGAATATTAATAATGCCGGTAAACTACATATATATATATATATATATAATCAGCACCAGCTTCAACATTCCCTCTGATTTCTGGGGAATAGAGAATTAATTACGGCGGCTCAGTTCAAATTGATTTAGATAGAACATGGTCCGCATTGCCTTTACTAGTTCACTGCAGAAGAGATCAATACCCACAAAGATGGCGATGCTCATGTTCATATCATGGTTGATTGTAAACTCTTCCGGACGAAGCATAAAACTCGCATTGCGTGGTGCCGTGAGCTCCTCCCGTTCATCCCCTTCTTCCTCTTCTCCATATGGACAAATGCTAGCGCTGCCACGCGGCACACTCGAATTCTCTCTTCGCCAAGGCATCAATGATAAGAGGCTGTTGTTGTCAATTACCATCGACAGTTTCAAATTGTTCAAATGGAGTTCATTCGCCTTCCCTCGTATGGCAGACAACATTTTGCCATGTGCCATGGAGAACATCTTCTTGATCTCCGCGTTCAATCGCAGCAGGGTGGAGAAGTGATCTACCGTTTTGGCACACGACCATGTCTTTGGCCGCTGCACCGCATCAACAAAGTCTTGCATGGCGTAAACACTGTATAGGTTAATGTTCTTTAAAAGCTGTCTGCTGCTTGTAAGCATTTCAACCAATTCATCCGCCACAGGGCCTAAGCGTGCACGATGGAGAATCGTCAGACCCAAAAGCATGATGTCCAGCGATGAGAGCAAGCGGCGCAGCACCGGGTGAAACTCATCTTGCTCATGGACAGGGTAAGGTTTACCACGGATGGTGGGCTCCAGAGAGGCTGTTTTGATTTTGGGCGGCAACTGCCGTACGGCACGCCAGAGACCAGTGCTGCATGCTTTCATTGCGTGGATCTCTTGCATCACATCGGGCTCCCGGTCGTCGACGGGCGCCTGCAGGAGACGGATCAGGCTGGAGAGGTATTTAGAGATGCCATCCATCACCCACACCTCCGAATTGTGTAACACTCGAATGGTGTCGACGGGAAAAACAAAGACAACAATGGCATAATACGTCATGACGGTAAGTGAACTCGAGACCACGCGGGAAAACATCATCAGCGGCGTGGCTACCATGTGCATCATGGAAGGGATAAGAAGTGCACAATAGAAGGAACAGTTAAAATAGGCCGGGAAAGAAGAAGTAAAACGTGCTACTGCAATAAGCACAATTGCAATGGGGTACGCTTCGAGATCAGACTTATGATGTCTCCGTATCACATAGGCCAAAGCCGCAGCAAAGGCAAGACCCGCCACACGCTGTAATCCCGCCACCAGTGAATCACCCGTGGCTTGAAGTCCAACACCCATGAGGATCGTCATCCCAAAGTAGTATACACTATCAAAATCAATGCAGAGCGTGTAAACACAGGCCAAGGTGTAGCCACACGCAAGTTTGAACGCATCCTTTGCAAGCCGCACATCATTCGGTGTGGCCAACGTAAGACGCTTCGGTAGCTCTGCCCAAAAATCCCTCCAGTGCTCAAGAAAAAAGAAATCCAAAATGCGACGCGATGTAGACGTGTACCGCGAGCAATCAAAGTTGCGCATAATTTCAGCGTACCGAAGCAGCTCCTCGCCAATGAGTACCATCATGAGGTGGGAAAACACAATTTGCATGTACCACACCGGGTCGACATTACCAAAGCGGCCTTTCATCATGTCGTAGTGGATCTTGTCAATGGTGGACTGCAGGGATGAGGTGGCTGACTGAAGGTCATCAAACGGCACGGTGGCCACCACCTCACGGGGATTCAAAACACAACCCAACTGCTTCAATGTAACTTTCAGGGCCTGCAAATATGGCTCGAGTGCTTCTTCCAGGCGCCCACGAATAACCCCCACACCGGGGCTGACGGCGGATTGGTCGTTATCGAGTGGTGATCGCGACCGCTGCGCAGCGTGGAGTGCACGCACTACACCCACCAAGGCATGCAGCATGGGCATAATGCCACCAATCACCTTAATACGTTCGCTTCTTAGCTGCAAGCGTAGCGGCGACTCCCATGGCTCGTAATGGACAAAACTAAGTTCAAAGGGCACGGTTGTAAATATTTTCTGGAGTGGTTCCGATGACGTCTTTGAGAGCGCCACCGCCGCGTCAATAGGGTTCTCAGACCAACATGCCTTGACGGAATTATGCACCACCTCCCCTATGTAGACCCACGCCCCTGCCATCGCCTCATCCACGCGCTTGCACATCGTAAATGGCGGTATAAACGACTGAAAACAAGCAAATCCTAAAGCAAGAAACACGTCACGCCCCACAAGAAGAGGCAGAAGAGCCCCTTTTCCTACCATCAGCTGGGACCGTTCAACCTCCATAACAATCAGCGTCATTAAGATCGCCAATTTTCTACCCCGTACGTCCCCAACTAGACCTATGCCAAATGCTCCAAAAAACACAGCACACCACCATGCAGTTTGGTGTGCAAGCAAATTAAATAAATGCATCAACGAGCCCCACAGCATCATCCACAGCAACACTGGGATCATCGTGCATACCATACATATTTGCTCTCCCACAGTATCTTTGCTATATGCAACGCCAAACAAAGCCAAAAGAGTGTGCATCGGAAAAATATCTGGGTATCTATCTCCAATATACATCAACGGAAGAGCCGAGAAGAGTGAGGTACGAAAAGCCACATACGCAGGGTGGCGAAACTTTTGCGAGAGAAGGGTGCACCAATAAGATTCAAAGCTCACCGAGTCATCATGTATATTTCCCCATATATTGAGTTTGGGTGGCATTATTTCCTCCGCGTCTTTTTCCATCAGTTGCTTCATGAGGTTCTCCGCCCACAAGCGGTTCTCTGATATGTGAATCCACTCTATGGATTCCATGGCGTATCTCCCTCCCCTTCCTTTTTTTCTATTTCTTTGTCGTCGTCCCTACACAATTACAACTCCTTCTTCTGTGCCCTGACACCTCCCCTCTTGGGTGGTGGATTCCAAATGCTACACGCCTCGCCTTTTCCTTTGTTTTTTTTACTTGTGAGATGTGGGGAATTTCCCCTCCCTATTCCGGCCAACAACAAAACAAAACAAAACAAAACAAAAGAAAAGAAAACAACGCACAATAAGCAATATTATATACACGAAACAACAACAACAAAAAAAAAAAAAAAGCAACATTTTTGAAGAAATATCCCCAAACAGTGCGTGACTGCCTTCCACCATCCTCACGGCAGGAGAAAAAACGTTATATCGGACAGGCTAGACACGCATAATTGTTTATGACATGCACATATATATATATGTATATATATATTCTGAGAGAAATGCCAAATCATCATGGAACATACGCATACATACAAATAATGAGCAAAAGAAGAGTTGTAACTGGAAAGAGTTATGGAGTTTGTTTTCTGTGTATGAGCTTAAAAAAAAAAAAAAAAAAAAAAAATTGTTTATTTATTATTTGTTTTTTTTTTTTTTTTTTTGTTTTGGCATTATTGCCTTCACGATAATTCCCTTTACTTCTACCGTCATTTTTTTATGCCATCACATTTTTGTTAAACCTTGCCGTTATTTCCCACCACGCACGTTGCTCCAACAGCGTGACTTGCTTCCGCTCCACTAATTCCACACTCATGCAAATATGAAGGGCAATTTCATTGTCATTACTATTTCGTGTCCACCCTGTCTTGTGCAGTGGCGGAGGTGACTGGGAGACGTCTGCCGCCAGATGCCCCATGGCACAATTCAAGAGAGAGACTAGATTCCCAACGGTGTGCTCCTCTGAAACACTCAACGCCGTTCTGCTCTCCATGCCACAAGGACTGACGTCATGGGACGACGTCATGCAAATTTCTTGCGCTTTTGCAGGCGAAGTCGCAGGTGGGGTGCACACCGCTTGTGATCTCGCACTTCGACTGCGCGCCGTTTCCACTGCCCATGTTCGATGCACACCAATCGGCGTTTGACTCTTGCTGGGCCGGCGTTCACTGGCGACAATTTCCCGCTCGGCAACAAGCCACGCAGAGGCTGAACGAGGGACGATGGGCGTGGCGGATGCGCATCCATTCAGATCGGCAGCCAACTCATAGATAAGACTTTCCTTGGCGGCAATAAGACGGCGGCTATTGGCATGGTTCAGTACCATTTGCCATCGCGATAATAGAAGCCTCCACGAGAGATGAGCCTCTCCTTCAATATAATCTCGCTGCGACTTCTCAGCATCACACAATAAGGCATGCGCGTAGGATGCCCAGCCCACATTTTCTACGCTGGGCCCGTTGACAGACAACGGCCTTCCCTTCACGTCACAAGAGAGTCTCGTCAACTCTTTCTTTCCATTTTCACAGGAATACATCGCGGCACCCTGCAGCTGCGCTCGGCATGCCTCTTCATATTCTTTCGCCTCTCTTTTCACAGTACTGATGGCGGATGCCAGAAAACCCTCCTGGGCATCTAGTTGCTGCTGCATCCACCGCATAGCCTCCCAGAGATGTTTTTCCCAAAGCACTGAAGGCTCCACGATACGTGCCCGTGTTTCTGCATCCACCCCCGCGGCCACTTCCTCACGTGCGGTAACGAGAAGTGTGACGCGTCCAAGTCGTTCCTCCATAAGGATGGTGTGCCGCCGAACCGCTTCCTCGGCGTCACATCGGAGCGACCACAAACGCCTCTTATCAAAGTGGGCCTGTAATGCTATTTGTCTGGCTTTCCACCTATCAAAACCCAAGTTACATACAATGTTGTCTTCCGGAGATTTATGTACAACGGGGATAAATGGGGATTTCCCTACCGCCGGTTTTATTGCTATTGCAGTTGCTGATGGTAATGATAATGCGTTCATTTCCTCACATACACCGTGTGGGGCCAAATACGACGGTGACGAAAGTCTTGTATCGCCTGGACACGCACGGCTGCGACTTCGACTCCAAATGCCGCCATCCGGGGTTTCTTGGTATTTCTGGGGAGGCTCGTGTAGATGCAACTCCTGCGACTCCTGCCGATTGGAGGAAACGGCATCAGAAGCCAAAGAAAACGCGTTCGACACCATTTTCTCACCTTCCTCATTTGAGGAGACATATCCACGTTGGGTGTGATTCCCCATCGCTGCTGGGGGGAACAACTGCGACGTCACCACCGTCTTTCCCTCACACCACGCAATGGCCACATCCACCTCGTTCAGCCGCCGCAGGGCGTGCGCCATGGGAGCGTCATCGCGACCGTTTCTGCTACTGCGGTGGTAGTCGTCGTGTCTCGTGCCTGCATCCACCTGCGGAGCCGCCATGGCCGCGTCCACGGCAAAGCGTCGCTGCTCCTCTAGCCGCATCAATGTCCCGCTGCTCGCCAGAGCCTCGTAGGCGACGATGATTCCATCCACAAGAAATGCCTGATCCTGAGCAAGCGAGTAGGCGACGCCGTCTTCAAGCGTCATCAGACGCCGTACGCGGGATAAACGTTGCGCCAAAGTCAAAGATGCGGCGGTCGTGCCCTCTCCCGTCGTCAACATCATCAATGAAAAAAGAGTATTAATAATAATAATAATAATAATTAATGAAACAACACAGGACCGACGGGGCCCACCTGCCCCACACACAAAACAACAAAAACAACAACAACAACAACAGATATGTAATAATAATTAAAATAAAAAAAAAAAAGAGGGGGTAAAACAGAAAAAGGAAAAAAAAAAGAAAAAAATACACCAAAAAGAAAAACAAAAGAAGAAAGAGAATAATCTTCTGTGCCGCTGGCCAAATCCTGAAATTTTTTATAGAAACCAAAAAAGAAGATAGGAAGGGAAAAAAGGAAGGTAAAAGTAGAGGCAGTTAAATGCCCAAACGCTTTCTTCTGATTATATATGTATATTCTTTTGACCGTTCAAGTCACCTTTTATACTCAGGTAGGATATGAAGTATATTTATTTAATTCATTACGAGGTGGCAGACTTTTTGGGGTCCTCCAGGCACACAAGACCCCGCCGCAAAAGGTGGAAATCAAAAAAAAGGGGAGTTGAGTGGGTGGGAAGGTACAAAATAAAAATAAATAAATAAATAAATTATCCAGCCGCTATCGGTTCCCCGCTGCTCTCCTCAATAAAGTCGTGTTCTTCCCAAGAATTCATAAGATAGGAAAAGTATCATACAGAAACGCATTAGTGTTATCCGTATATATGTATATATTCATTAATTAAGGCAGTCAGCTCTCCTCGCGATCATTCTCTTCACACGCTCCTAATAAAGCCGTAAAAATATATATATTTTTGTCTATTCGTCTGGCTATTTCTCTGTCTGTGATAAACACGAGGCAGGCCTCCTCCCCTCCCCGTAAAAGAGAACAGAACTAAAAAGTAAGAAGAAAAAAAAAAAAAAAAAAAAAGGAAGAAGATGACATTATAATTAGAGTTTCAAAGAGAAAAAGAGTGTGAGAGAAAAACAATTGATGGCAGACAAAAAAAAACAAAAAACAACAGGCAATGGGGCATCAATCGCCTCCATGTCATGCAAACTCTCATTTCTCCTCCCCCCCCCGCCTCCCGCGACAAAAAATTGCCACACATCCAATGGTTCCTCCGCACACACACACACAGACACAGAGAGAGAGAGAGAGAGAGTCAAACAAAAATAAATACACGGGTTTTTTATTGCACGCACAAACAGACAAACACACTTACAGAAAAAAACACATAAATGTGCGAAAATGACAAAAAAC